CAAGTACATATCTTGCATGAATACATAGGGTAAGATAACAATGGGTTTATTTTAACCCTTTCCATGTGGGTAGGAGTCAGAGTGCATGTCATCACGTCATCATGTTTTGTGAACTTAAATTCAAAATTTTATTAAACTACTATTTTATGAATGGTATGTCCATAAATTTGGGATCAAAACTGTAGTTTATAATTTAAATTTTAATATCAATTGTTAATTATTGATTTTTTTGGGTGTCTCTTGCATTTGCTTGGATTATATGGTGGGCTTGAATAAATACAGTCTACAGTTTTTAACGAATTAGAAACTCAAATTACCAATATTGACAAGCTAGAATATAAAATAAGAACCTTTTTTAAGTGCTGAAATATCATTATATTTAGCAAATCCACAACAGTGGCCCTGCTCACCTCTTCCTCTTTTGAAAATACTTGTTTACCAATGCTCACTTCTCTTAAGTATATGTTTACAAGCAATCAAAAGCGATCATTATGAATTACGTAATTCTGTCAGACTTCCTAAAGTATTTCTGTGGGTAAAGTCATTATAAACGTTCTAGAGTTTGAAGACTGGTGATCAAGGTGAAATGCTCATCAGAAATTAAATTTTTAGACCAAAATATAGCTAAGTTAGGAAGCCTGATACTGTGGAATTTTGTGGTATCATTATAGTAACTTATAATTTATATTTCAAAATGCATGTATGAAGCCTACAAAGTTTATTTATTTTTTGCATCTTCCACTTGCGAAATTCCACAAAGCTTAGCAAATATGACACAAAAGTATAAAAGATTTGTTAACATTGTAAGTAGTAGAAATCATTGATTTCTATATATTGTTTATTTACTGTTCTATGTTTTAAGAAAAATAGTTGAACTTTAAGAGTTTATTTGTAAATAGTAATTATATATACATATGTAATGTATGGTAAGTGAAATAAGAGTTAGACTTTTGAGTTTGAGGATAAGACAGTAGTAGGTTTGTTTTAATGTTTTACATCATGATTATATTTTACTATGTGCTTACATGGCGAGGATGTAATGCCATATATTGTTTGAAACTTGAAAAGAACTTTCTTAAAGGCATGTAGTTTAAGTTAAATAAAATACTGAATATTTTTTTTACTGAAAATTCATTATTTATTGTACTTATTTTCACTCAGACTCTGGATAGTTCAAGTTTACCTTACAATATTCAAATTTCTTTTACATAATCTCGATAATCTTCTAAATGATTATCAAAAGTTTTTAAAGTAAATGTTTATATTTCATTTTTTCTCGTGTCACTAACTGTAGCTATTATCATTACCATAGTTGAGTTTATCTGCATCAGCTTAAAGAAAGGACATAATGTATAACATTTGTTAATCTGTTGTTCTTTGTAACAGCTTGGGAGTAGTATTATTGCAGCTGTGAATGATGCCATAATGGTGGTGGTTATTCCCTGTCATGAAATTACTCATTTATCCATTTGCCTGACCCATCAAAAAATGGTGGGTTGGAATTTTGTGAAAAACCCTCAGGGCCTTCTCCTTTCCTTTAGCGAGCTTTGTTCACCAAACCTCCTCCTTCATTATAAAAGAAAAACACTCGCACATTATAATATTTTTGATAAAGAAAAAAGGTTTGGTTTAGTCGTAAGAAATTTTCTTAAAATTACAAATATGTAGCATCAAACTGGCTATGCTTCCAGCATTTTTTTTCCATTGCAATAGTTAATATTTCATGAAGCTGAAATAGTCATGTCATAAAGTATTGTACATACACTTATTGGCTGAAGTTTTAAAATCATAGTTTACAATTTTCTGATTTAACTGATCTGCTTACATATAAACATTTTGTGACAGTAACATGTCAGTCCGATGTATAGTTGTTGTTTTTTAAGTTGTAGGTTCCGTTTAATTATGTGACCACGTAAATTTGTATTAACAAAACCCATTCACGTTATATTTTTAATGGTAATGTATTATCATGATTTTAGTAAGTTTTTGTTATTGTAAAGTAGAAACTATTCATAACTCACTTCTTGTCCTAAACATATAATTGTCATCATGGTAAGCTAGAGGAGGAAACTGCTATAGTACAATTTTTTCTCATCTCTGTATAGAAACATAAGGAAGATGGAACCCTAGACAGTGTCAACAAAGATATTCTGGCTGAAGCAGAACGATTAGACATAAAGGATAAGGCTCCCTTGGTGTTTTGTGAATTGCTCTTTGATGAAAATATTATCCAGCAGATCAAGATGCATCGTATTTTATTTCTTAGAGTGAGTAACTGTATATTTTAACATTAATGTTATTGTTTGGTAATTTTGCTACAATTACATAGTATTTGTTTATCATTCTTTTGAACATTAAAATGTTTCTTGATTTACAGTTTTCAAGAAGTTTGCATTTCATTTATGGAAATATGTGCATTTTAGAGATACTTATACATCAAGCTTCATGAAATTTTACTCCCAAATATATGATACAGTCTTACCTCCTCCCACACAAAACCATCTTGATGATCTTCTTTCTGCCCTCTAAGTATTGTTGACAAAATTTCATGCTCACTGCACCAGACTATATACCCCATCAATTTTGCTATACTATTGAACATGTATATAGCATGTGACTACTCTCCACCAGTAATATTATGGTACCTCTATTAACACAGCTAGCTCCTTCTATATTTCCATTCAGTTCTCGATTGACACGGCATTTTTGAAACGTGTTTTTTCGTATGTTTATGATTGTGAAATTCCTGTTACAGTCGAAAACACTACTGGTATGACTTCCCAGGTATAGGGTTTGACTGTATCTACAGAGGAGGTACAGGCCCTAATTCACAGGAAGCTAGATTGTTCGGCTGGCTGTATCTTCTTTTCAGCTTGACAATGTTTCGGAGGAAAAATACGATCAAAGGTGAAGACTGTTTGAACCCTCTTTTTCCAGAACCTTCTAATTTTGGTCAATCAAACACTACTCGTTTTCAGGAGTTTTTCTCTTCCAATTTTTTTTTATAGTCAGTTAATCAGGTTGTCTCGACACATATTCTGGTTTTTCTGTATGTTCAAGATATAGGTGATTTCTAGTTTTCTTTTTCCTGCTTCAGTTGCCATGCCACCACGTTGTTCACTATGGTGGAGGTTTTTTCTTCTCCTCCCTTCTTCATATTGCTTCCAGTGATTCTGTGGTAAGATGCCATTTTTATGGCTTTGTCCTTCTTTACACATTGTAGATTTAAGTATGTCATGTCATCAGTGCTCAGGCTTTGGTAAGTTAGATATTTATGTGTCTTTTGTTATCCATGTTAATTTAGATGAATTGTAAGTTAAATATTGTTTATTTCTTTATTTTCACGTTCGTTAATATTACGTACCTTGTAGACTTGGTAAATTTTGAGGGTTTGTTAGTTTGAAATTAAAAGTGCTTTAACTAAGTATGTTTAGGTAGTTTAAAAATTACATAACATTTCTACTAGTCACATGTAATTCTTTATTCTATCTGACTAATGTTTATTTCTCGCTATTGTTAAATATGTGCCGTATAATCCTAATGATTTTCGGTGTTGGCACTGATTATGAGTCCTTTGTCGTCTAAGTTAATTTAAATGAATTGCAAGTTAGATATTGATTATTACTTTGTTTTCTCTGTAATTTTTGATGGTTTACACATTCATTATTATAACATAATTTTTGGACTAAATACATTTAGATAGTGTCAGTTAGATATTCAAAAGTACTTTGGTAACTAGATATGTTTATATAGTTTGTTTGTTACATATCATTATCACAGTACCTCTAATTCATTGTTCTGTGTGGACAAACGTTTTTCATCGTTGTTAACTATGTGTCGTATAATCCTACTTTTTGTCAGTGTAGGACTTAAAATTCTTTTTGATTTGCTACATTACTGACGTATTCATTTCTTTCCTGTTTGTCGGTCTGGGCTCCTTTTCCTACGTCCTTGATACTAGAAACCAAATTGTCTTTTCTTAATCTACAATTCAGGGTTTGTCCCCACGGTGCCCACATCATTCATAGTTATTTATTGCTTGAAGTCGAGTGTTCCAGTTCAGGACCCTACTATTTGGACTAACTCGGATCTTTAACTCTTTCCACATTAAATAGCATAATGCTGCTCACTAGTAATATTACCACATTAAATAGCGTAATGCTGCTCACTAGTAACATTACCACATTAAATGGCGTAATGCTGCACACTAGTAACATTACCACATTAAGTAGTGTAATGCTGCTCACTAGTAACATTACCACATTGAATAGCGTAATGCTGCTCACTAGTAACATTACCACATTGAATAGCGTAATGCTGCTCACTAGTAACATTACCACATTGAATAGCGTAATGCTGCTCACTAGTAACATTACCACATTAAATAGCGTAATGCTGCTCACTAGTAACATTACCACATTGAATAGCGTAATGTTGCTCACTAGTAACATTACCAAAATGTATTTCTGATAGGTACTTACCTCCTCTCAAACACTTCCCAACCTTCCTCCCCACTGCCAATATTCTTATTTTAGTACCTGATAATTCTCAAAGCTAGGATTAAACAGGAATAGCAGAAGTAGTTAGCTGTGCCAATATAGGTGGTGCAATATTATTGGTGGAGAGTCATTGCATCTTATGTACATGTTCAATAGTGGTGTGCAATTGGTGGGATATGTAAACTGATGCTCAGAGACAGAAAGAAGGTCTAGATAGCTTTATGTGAGTGGAGGTAAGTACCTATCAGAAATATATTTTCAGTGTATGAAATATCATAAAAAATATCATTTACTTTTACTCTCTCTGAAGTTCACCCATGAAAACCACAAGGCCCAAAAGTACTTATTAGGAGGCGTGGAGCAGGTGGTGAAGCTACATAAGGACACACTAATGAACAAAGTTCCTTATATATTGAAAGCTCTCTATGACAATGATATACTAGAGGAAGAAGTTTTAATAGACTGGGCCAAGAAGGTAACCAAAATACTTACATTGTGTTTCCTTTGCTTTGACATCTATTTTTTGAAAGTTTTAGTGTTTATTTTTCCAGACTTTTCCCCCCTTACTTTTAGTAACAATAAGTAATACATTTTGTTAACAGTTATGGAGTTAGAAATTAAGCGTTGGAACGTATGATTAATGAATTGTTTTCAGTATGTCACTCTGTGTATTAATTAAATAATTTTAGACATTTTTAAAGTGATGGTGGGTTTTTTCTAGTAGATCTTATGACAAGCACACTTTTCCAGAGATTTCAACCATTCTGACTGGTAAAATCATTGTGTGGATTTATTTAAAAAAATTTATACATTTTTAAATTTATATGATTTTGGTCACTTATAATCACCAGTTAACCTTGAAAGTATCCATACTATGACTTTTAATGTAAGTTTATCTTCACAAAACTTGACAAACTCTTAGTGAACATTACAAGTGTATTTGTACACAGAAATCCGATTTTTTTTTTAAGTATTCTACTAAAGATTTGCCTATGAATGTATGAAGTCAAAGTATAACTCAGACTCTGACAAGTCTGAGTGTAAGTTGATTTTCATGCTAAGATTAAAAATCTTCTTTTCATTGTACAATGTCACATTAACCTCCTGACTAGTCTGAGTGTAAGTTGATTTTCATGCTAAGATTAAAAATCTTCTTTTCATTGTACTATGTCACATTAACCTCCTGACTAGTCTGAGTGTAAGTTGATTTTCATGTTAAGATTAAAAATCTTCTTTTCATTGTACTATGTCACATTAACCTCCTGACTAGTCTGAGTGTAAGTTGATTTTCATGCTAAGATTAAAAATCTTCTTTTCATTGTACAATGTCACATTAACCTCTTGTACATAACCTCTTGAACCTCCTAAATGAATATCAAAACTGTATTTTATGTGTTTTTTTTCTGCTCTAACGAGATATATATACTCAGATGATTTAACCAGCCTAGTAACCACCAAAAAAAATATGGAATAAATTGAAATTACAATTTGTTTTTCTTTCTGAAATGATTGCAGATTGTAACAAAAAATTAGTTGTTTATCCTAAACAGCTTAAGGTTTGTAACAGCTTTCACATGTTTATATTTTATATTATTGCTCTTGAACTACATCTAACTAATAATTCTGTGATAGAAATTAAATCACTCAAGTTGTGGTATTCAATGATGTAATGAGTGATCTACTCGGACAAAACTCAACTTGTGGTATTCAATGATGTAATGAGTGATCTACTCGGACAAAACTCAACTTGTGGTATTCAATGATGTAATGAGTGATCTACTCAGACAAAACTGAAGTTGTGGTATTCAATGATGTAATGAGTGATCTACTCAGACAAAACTCAACTTGTGATATTCAATGATGTAATGAGTGATCTTCTCAGACAAAACTCAACTTGTGATATTCAATGATGTAATGAGTGATCTACTCAGACAAAACTCAACTTGTGGTATTCAATGATGTAATGAGTGATCTACTCAGACAAAACTCAACTTGTGGTATTCAATGATGTAATGAGTGATCTACTCAGACAAAACTCAACTTGTGGTATTCAATGATGTAATGAGTGATCTACTCAGACAAAACTGAACTTGTGGTATTCAATGATGTAATGAGTGATCTACTCAGACAAAACTCAACTTGTGGTATTCAATGATGTAATGAGTGATCTACTCAGAGAGAAATTGTATTATTTTTTCACTATCTAACCTTGTTGAATCTAATAAATGTTTACACTTTAATTACTTTTTAAACAAGAAATTCAGTATATATATATATATGTTCCTATGAAACATAATTCTAATTCCTTGTAACGGTATTAGTAGTAACTAAAAAAAATATTTGTTTAATACGTCATTGAATATGGTCAACATTAATATTACCAACACATCAGCCGAGTAATTTACAACTTGTGTGGCAGGATTGTTAGTTAGACATGGTTCGAATGCAATAAAATTAGGTATAAACAGATGTAGACTGTTATAAGCATTAAGCTATTTAGTATAAGCATTTGTAGTTTCCTGTTACAGTCTGTAGTCATTCTAGGAAAAAAAAGGTGTTTTTGTGGGGGGAAAATAAGCTTGCCATCCTGGACAGTGTAGTCAATGAATTGATCATCATCATTATTGATTTATAATATTAAATATTTCTAGTCAGTTATATAGAATACACTACGTTAAGTTCTGACCTCCCTAGCTTACTTTTGATCAGGAATTATTCTCATTTTGAGTAAAAACTTGTGATATTAGATGTTTATTGTACAGGTTTCCAAGAAGTATGTGAGTAAGGAAATTGGAAATGAAATCCATGAGAAAGCTAAACCATTCATCAAGTGGTTGCAAGAGGCTGAAGAAGAAGAATCATCTTCTGATGAGGAGAGGGGTGAAGAAGAGTCAGTAGAGGTAGATATTGTTTTATTTCTTAACAACAAACCATTCACTAGACTGTTTTTTAGTAAAAACACTGTGGCAATTTAAGATAGTTTTGCTTTTGAGCAAAGTTACAAAACATGCTTTTCATGGGCATCTTTCCTTCCAGTCTGAGGCCAAAGATAAGTGTAACAAGAAAATTAACTTTCTGTTACAGACATTTACGTTCAAATCAACCAAGGGAGAAGGGGTTAAAAGCTATTCTTTGTGGTAATCATTTTGGTGATACATACCTAGAAAGATTGGTTATGTTTTCTAAACTCTTCCTAGACAGGGTTTGTTTAGAAAGATTGGTTAACTCTTCTGAACCCTGTCTGGAGGGTTTATTTAGAAATATTGGGTAAACTCTTCTGAACTCTTTGCTTTGCACAATAGATAGGCAACATACAAAAAGCAAAAAAAAAGGCATGAGAAAAACATTGCTTTACAAACCTTAAAAGTTGAAAAAATTGATATTTTGTGTATGAAAGCATTGTAATGTTTACTGATAATCTGCCATATTTGGTTAACATTCGCTTACTAATTTAAAAGTTACAGCATGAAAACTATAACAAGCACAAAATGGTTATGAGGTCGATCTCAGAGACCGAGCCCGTGTTGAAAGACTTAATAGTATTATGACTATTTTTGGAGCATATTATTAATTTCTTTTGGTGGTAAATTGTGACCAGTTTTGGAGCATGTTATTAGCGTCTTTTAGTGTTATTGTAACCAGTTTTGGACTGTGCTATTAGCTTCTTTTGGTATTACTGTAACCAATTCTGGACTGTGTTATTAGCTTATTTTGGTATTACTGTAATTAGTTATGGAGTGCGTTATTAGCTTATTTTGGTATTACTGTAACCAGTTTTGGAGTGTGTTATTAACTTCATTTAGTGTTATTGTAACCTGTTTTTGACTGTGTTATTTGCTTCTTTTGGTATTACTGTAACCAGTTTTGGAGTGTGTTATTAACTTCATTTAGTGGTATTTCATATCACAAATGTTGTCAAGGGTAAAAATACATTTTTTTGGATGATATTAGAAAATCACAGAGAAAATATATCATTCCCTAGGAAATCTTAATAGGTTGTACTAATTTTTACTTTTTTATCAACTAATATAATACCATTTTGTATTGAATATCAGAGGTATGTAAAGTCACTGCCAAAGAAGCCTTTCATTCAGTACCAGAATTCGACAGTTTGGCTGGATGACGATACACTAGAGTTCCATAAAATGCTATTTATATATGCAGGATAATACTTTATAAGTTTTAGTTTAAATGACAAAAGCTGATGAAGTATACAGAGCTGTATAAGGGATGATTCTCTGAAATGGATAGATTAAGAAAAATGTGTAAAAAAAACATGATTTTTAACACATTTTACACTTGTTGGTTTCTAATTCTTCATTAGCTTTCACCTTTGAAACCATAATTTGTATGATACTTGCGTGTTATAAAAGTAGCACCAAGTGGCATGCTGATACTTAATTCTGAATTTACTGACATGTTTTTTTGTCATTTGTTACCGGTCTGACACACACATGCTGCATCATACTGAGTATATTTAAGTTTTTGCCTTTGTAGAATACATTCAGGAACCCTGGCACTTAATTAGATGGATTAACTGCATATTGATGGTGTTTTTATATGACACAAGGCACCCTGTAACCACTGGGTTATGAAACCCACAAGCCTAAATAGTTTAAAAAGCTGTCAGTAATTCACACTGAAGGCATAAGCAAAACAGTAATAACCAAGTTAATGAAAGTAATCCAAGATGGTTTTGTTCAGTGAACAAAAAAATTATTAAATGGTAGAAAATATATACACAGGAGCTTATCCATTACTACTAATTGTGTAATTATATATGTATATTGTCTTGTTAAATACACAAAATAATCATTGTGTAATTAGAAAATTTTGTTTGTTAACCTAGGAGACAAGTAGTTCGATATACATGGATTTTTTTTCAATAATAAAAGTAGTAATATGAATAAAATACATTGATGTAAATATTGAAGTATTTGTTGAAATGGGATCTTTGTTTTGCCTGCAAAGGTTGTTTATTCAGATGGTCTCATCAGCACGACGCTTCAAGAGGTAAAAGAAAAACCCAAACCACCTAAAGTCATTGAAGAGCCTGACACTGATGACATAGATATTGATGATATCTGAGATTCGAGTTATTCCACCTTAAATGTATTCCATGCAGAATTCTGAGTTAGCAGCACAAATCTTATTAACAGTTTGTATTCCGTTCTTGTTACCTAGCTAAGATATTTTTTATTCTATTATTATCTGAAATAATATGGTATTGTTGGTGTTGATCCATTAAAGATTAACTCTAAATTTTTTCCTCCTTGGAGATATTTGATGAAATTGTAACATTGTATAAGTGTATCTTAGTACTGTCTGTTGTTAGCCTGTTGAGTTATCTGAAATATACAAGTTCTAAGACGTATCCAGAAAATTGAGTTTGAAATGATGTTTATTTTAGAAGTACATAAATTTTATCGGTAGCTCTACTTTGTGTTTGATTATTGTGATTGACAAATTATGCACTCACATGTACCTCACATTCAAAATATTAATATCAAGCTTTGAACCCTTTCATTAGTCTGCTTTTTTGTGGGATTAACACACTTTCAAGCACTTTCTTTGTGTGTCTGCATAATGAGAGCTTTGTATATTAATGTAATTGTACAGCATTATCCAATATATATTCCTAGTTGAGAAATGCTCTAAAAACACATTTGAATCAAGTGGGTTCAAAGATTCATGGTTTGTTCCCTGGTGCTGCAGAACACATTCCACTATTAGGAGCTGTGTGGGCACTTAAGAGTAACAGTTAAATCCCACTATTTGATCAGACAAGAGTAGTACAATAGTTTTGAGTGGATGCTGTTCAGTATTGAATAGTAGCTGGCCTTCATGTAGAGTTACTAGTGGGTGCTATTCAGCCTGGAATAGTAGCTAACCTTCATGTAGAGTTACTAGTGGATGCTGTTCAGTCTTGAATAGTAGCTAACCTTCATGTAGAGTTACTAGTGGGTGATGTTCAGTCTTGAATAGTAGCTAACCTTCATGTAGAGTTACTAGTGGGTGCTGTTCAGCCTTGAATAGTAGCTAACCTTCATGTAGAGTTACTAGTGGGTGCTGTTCAGTCTTGAATAGTAGCTAACCTTCATGTAGAGTTACTAGTGGGTGCTGTTCAGTCTTGAATAGTAGCTAACCTTCATGTAGAGTTA